TCTATCTATCTATCTATCTATCTATCTATCTATCTATCTATCTATCTATCTATCTATCTATTTGTCTGTCTACCTATCTATCTCGATGTTTATTTATATCTATCTACAGCTATCTTTCTCTGTCTTTCTCTTTCTCTCTATGTCTGTCTGTCTGTTTATATCTATCTATCTATCTATCTATCTATCTATCTATCTATCTATCTATCTATCTATCTATCTATATTTGTCTGTCTACCTATCTCTATGTCTATCTATATCTATCTACAGCTATCTTTCTCTGTCTTTCTCTTTCTCTCTATATCTGTCTGTCTGTTTATATCTCTCTCTCTACCTCTCTCTCTCTCTCTGTCTATCTATCTATCCATCTATCTACTTACCTACCTATCTATCTCCACACACATATATTGTACATACATTGTCTGTCTGTCTGTCTCTCTCTCTCTCTCTATGAGAAAGGAAGTGTGTGTGGGGGTCTTTTACCTCAGAAGTGGGTGGAAGATGACTGTGATATTCCGAGCTCCAGGTTTGCAGACAAACTTCGTCCCGCCACCTTCGATCAAGTTGTCGTTGGGATCTCCTGAAAAGGACAAAAATAACATTAGAAACCCAGGTGCTGATTTACAAGTTCTAGGTTTAAATCAATGGGTTCACCTGGTGTATTGCCAGATGATCTACAAATCCCCCCCCCCCCTGCAACCTGCCCAGATTACAAGCCCACTCGGGTTTCTTCCCCAAGGCAAACACGCGGACATCTCACACAAGCAAATTCTGCTTAACCTATTTTCATTTGGGTCCAACGGAATTGTAGCCAATATAAGGACAGGTGCGTTTGGGCGGGGGGGGGGGGGGGTTTGCCCAGGTGGGCATATTTGGAATTTGGAAGTACCTTCATGGGTGAGGTCACCCTACCTTCCCGTCTCCAATTTACCTGGCTGTTGTTGTTTTTTCTGACAGCCAAACACAATGCCAAGCAATGCTATGAAGCTGTATCTCGCCAACATATAAAAATTCTAAGAAAACTGAAGATATTTGGCGGAGGAGGAGGAGGAGGAGGAGGAGGAGGAGGAGGAGGAGAGGTGGGGAAGAGAATGAGGTACAGGAAGAGGAGGGAGAAGGATGGGAGGAGGAGGAAGATGGGAGGAGGAGGAGGATGGGGGAGGAGAAGGAAGGGGAGGATTGGAGGAGGAGAAAGAAGAGGAAGGAGAAGAAGATAGGAGGAGGAGAAGGAGGAGAAGGATGGGAGGAGGAGGATGAAAAGAAGAAAGGAAGGAGCAGAAGGATGGGAGGGGGAGGGGGATGAAAGAAGAGGGAGAGGGGGAGGAAGGGGGAGGATGGGAGGAGGAGGAGGATGGGAGGAGGATAAGGAAGAAATGAGAGGAAGAGGGGGAGAAGGAGAAATAAGAGAAGGATGGGAGGAGGAAGGGGACGGGGGAGGAGGAGGAAGAGGAAGAAGAAGATGGGAGGATAGGAGGAGAAAGAAGAGGAGGATGGGAAGAGGAGCAGGAGGAGAGGAAGATGGGAGGAGGAGGAGGAAGATGAGGAGGAGAAGGAAGGGGAGAAAGAAGACGATAGGAGGAAGAGGAGGAGGATGAGGAGAAGGATGGGAGGAGGAGAGGAGGAGGAGGAGGAGAGGAGGAAGAGGAGGATGGGAGGAGGAGGAGAAGGAAAAAGAGGAATAACAACCTACCAAGTGTGCTTTGATTTTATTTTATTTTTTAAAGCACCAAAGGAGTCAATTTGGTTGTCAATATGGAACGGAAGAAAGACGTCATCCTGCAGAGCCAGCGGAGGGATTCTCTGCAAAGCCCTTTTCATTCTCCCTGAAGTCTTCCAGGGGGGTGGAGAAGCAACTTAACAGTGACCTCTTTATGTTTTTTGTTTTTAAAAAAACAGGCTGTAATTACAGATCACGCACGTCTCCCCGTTAGCCGCCCCCCCTAAGAAAAAGCACGTGCAACAATTCCACTCCCTTATCAATCAAGGTGCCCACAACAGAAACTCAGTAAGAAATTGGGAGTGGGTGGGAAGGAAATGGGTTTGTTAGAAAACAATTATTGATTCTCAGCGTGGGATGGGGAGGCGCGTTTCCCGGCCTGATTTACCCGAGGCCCATTTAAGCCTCCGGGTGCAGAATGTGCTGAGAAATATAAGGCAGAAGCAAAGGAAAACAAGGCAATTTTCCTATAGTGACTCATCCGGTATAAATCAATATTATTGGGAGTGATAGATTTTAAGATGAAGAACTACTAGAGCAACTTCACACACACACACCCTTTATAATTAAATAAATCCATTTCCTTTCCCAGGAACGACATCTGCGGAGAGCTGCCCAATTGATCCTTTCTTGATTTAATTGTTGTGAAACCTGATTTTCATGTTTTTGCCTCTATGAGTTCTGACCAAGGCTTCCAGAGGCTGTAATTAAGCCCACACTTAGTCCAAAAAACTCTTGTTTTATTTCAGTGCTGGGAATTATGTTCATTCCCAGCCCGTAATGAGTCCCAAACAGTTCCTCGAGATAAGCACCTACCTTTCTCTCCTTTGAATTGCTGCCAACAACAAAAGTGCAAAATGAACTATAAAAAAACCAACCCAAGTACAAAGTCCACACAGAGCTTCAAGGTTTAATCCGAACAGAGCGAACGACGTTGCTTCCTGCAAAGGCTCCTGTCCCTTTGCATCTCCTTTATATCATATGGGAGGGCCAATCACCTCCAAGCCTTACACCCGGAGTTGCCCCTTTTGTCTCAGCTGCTCTTGCGTTCTGGCAGCTCTGCGCATATGTGCACTGGGAACAGGCTCCCCTTGTTCCTCGGCCTTGCTACTGCCAGGCTCTGGAGGCAGCACATAACTCCCAGATGGTCCTGGCTCCATCTCTGCACTGGACACAGGACCCTCTTCTGAGTCCTCCCCAGACTCCCAGACTGGTCCCCGTTCTTCCCCACTATCCGATTCCACTGCCGTCTGCACAGGCTGCTAGCGAACCACAACACTATGCTTTTTTAGTATTGCAAGCTGCTTGGAGTCGCTGGAAAAATTGAGACGGAAGGGCATATAAAAGTAATCCATAAATCAATAGAATTGGTTGGGAGTAAGTCAGGGGTATCAAACTCGATTTCATGGAGGGCCGCATCAGGGTTGTGTTTGAGCTCAAGGGGCCAGGGTGGATGAGGGATGTCACTTATGTTGGGGGAGCTTGTGGTGGCCCGAGAACTCTGCTAGCAAAAATGGGCTCCCAAGCCCCATTTTCAGCTGGGATGGCCTCCTGCAACCTCTGCTGGCAAAAACAGAGCTCAGGAGGGCCACGCACGGCCACGCACGATCTTCTCAAGCTTTGTTTTTGACTGTAACAGCTTCCTGAAACCCTCTGCCAGCAAAAACGGAGCTCAGGGGGGCCACGCACGGCCACATATGATTCTCTCAAGCTCCATTTTTGGCTGGGACGGCCTCCTGCAACCCTCTGCCAGTGA